AATATCTTAACCTTCAAAAAATTTTCAGTTTTATCAGGGAAACAAAATATGCACACATAAGGCAAAAATAATTCAATTATCTAATTGAAAATAGAACAAAGTCCCTCATTTTATTAAGCTCTATTAGACATTTGCATCAAATTTAAAATATAGTCTTAACTTAAAATATAGTCATAAAAGGATATCTTTTTCTGTTCACCAGTAAACTTTTATCATGTTGTCTAACAATTTTTCTACAGGCAGAAATGGATCCAAAGACATTAAATCAGTGCATAGGATTATGATACTCTATTTCCCTTCATTCTTTCCAAGTTTTAAAATTCTAAGCACAAGTACAACAAAAATCAGGTAACAATCCAGTTCTGCTGAGGAGTAACCAAAGGAAAACAAACTCAGATCAGCTTTTCTTTCTAGTGTCTTGTTTTGCAGCCAATATATTGGCAGAGGGAGCTATCCTTAAAATACTCTCATCTTACATATTTTCAGAGCATCGTTTCTTCAAAACATTATGTGAGTGCTAATCTACTAACATGAAAATTATATAGCCCCACTCTGCTCCCCAAACAAATCTATAAAAAAACATAAAATAGGGCCCACATTTCCCTTTTACAAATTCATTAAAGCTTTCCTTGTGTGCATCTTTCTTCTAGAGAGTAACCTACTTACTATCAAATTCTGAAACAACAGAAAAGCTCTCAACCAAAGTTCTCACTCTCTGCTTTTTTTCCAAATAAATACATACATTTAAAAAAACAATCAATTAATTTCTATAAACCTTTAAAACTTGAAACACTGTTTCAGGTAACTCCGTAGCTGTCTAGAATCACAAGTCTTTTGAATGGACAAGAACCTACTTTATATACAGGCTATCTGATTAAATCAAAACATTTATCAGCTAGTCATGAAATTGTGCAACACTTCTGTTCATCTATTACTTCTATAAAAGATTATTTTTGTTTACTGATTTGAAATTCAGGTTGTATTACAGTTGGCCAGAATGAAAATACAACACAAACATGAAGAATGAAGAAAACTATTGCCTGAGTCACCTTACAGGTACTCAAAAATTTAGGTTTCAAAATATGAGTGTGTTTTATTTCTATCATTACCTAGGTAATGGATACATGGGTATTTATTTTTGTTGTTATTGTTCTTTAAACTCTTCTTATACATTTTTCACTACATGTATGTATGCTACATTTCTCAATAAATTTTTTTTTAACTAAAGGGTATCATTTCAAATTTGGGGGGGGGTGGTGATGTCTCTGTCTTTAACAATAATCTCTCCCAATCTTCTAAATTGCCAATTTCAAAACTAGTTTCTTAAGTACTCTATTTCCTCACATAGAAGATATTTAATAAAGAACACAAATATTGCATCGGTGGGCAGATAGGTGTCTGAAGTCTCCGGCAGGTCTGGCAACTAAGAAAGAGTCCTTATTAATTATATTTCTTAAAAATTGATGTACAACCAGAAACCAGATAACAGAGAATTAGAGATGATGCTCCTGCCTCCTGTAAATTACAAAGTTCTTATGGGCAGGGATTGCATCTTACTCACAGCCTTTAGCACACAGAGTTTTACATTTAATATTTGTGGAGCTAAATGACACTTATTGTGGTTATTGCTGTACAGGGATCACTGTACCTAACCATCATTTGCTAATCTAAATATAAGAACTCTGCAAAATAGAACAAATTTATTTCATTGTTGGATTTCTAGGAAATCCAAGTCCCGGATGAACAGCTACAAGTGTGCAAGGGTATCACAGCCAGCCAGAGAAGCAGGTTCTCCTTTTCACTGGTCTCTGGTCAGTTTGCCACAGGACCACCACTCCTCCGTCAGTCCTAACAGGAATCTCTGCTTCTCTTCAGAGAGGCCAAGAGCTCTGATTTTTCTTTCATGTTTATAAAACGGGTTTGCGTATAACACAACCTCTATCGGATCATTAATTAACTTTTTAAGAAATGAGGTTAAGTAATAGATAAGACATCACTCTACCTGGTTATAATATCTATAGTTGGAAACACATATTTTACAAGGGTCTGGTTAGTAGTATTCTTTGTCCTTTAACCATATGACTAGATTTCCCTCACAAGGCTGTTGGGTTAGGACTAGGCTGTTATAGTCTCTAACTTGCTCAAAATCAGAGGCAATTTGTGGGTACTGAGGTTAATACTTAGCAACTGTTAGTGGCAAACTTCAGTGGGGAATCCAAGACTTGACTTATTTTGTCCTACCTTCCCCCACTTCCCCTTCCAAAGGAAGATATTGGTTCTGAGCCAAAGACAAGTAATTTAGTCCAAGTACTATAGCTTTCTGTCGGAGGCAACAAAGTGAAACTCCTTCTGCCATTTTTGAGTTTCTTAGTTCTGTTCTCCCTCTTTTCCCTTTCTACTGGATTCTCTTTCTCTCCCCCATGTGGCATGTGTGGTAAAAGGAACCTGAGGTTGCCTTCACCTCAGGAAGTGTCCCATTTGAAGAAGGTCAAACAGAATCGGGCTCAGGGTTCCTTAGGCCTGCTTCTAGTCCAAGGAAAACGAACTCTCAAGGTCACTTACCAGGTCAGTTCACAAAGCTGGGAGGCCCACAGAGTCAGAGCCAAACACAGTATGTCCAGGCTTGCTTTTGCCTGGGGTACGCTCTATGCATGTTTTACCCCTGGGGATAAGTCAGATATAGAAGAGACAACTCAACGGAAAATTCAACTAGGGCAGAGGTCCTGATCTTCTCCACATTGATCATGACTTCAGTATAAAAGAAATGTGCCCAAGAAACTTGATAAGGATTTAGATGGCTACTCTCAAAAAATAAATTTGCGTATGTTTTCCACAATACTCTGTTTAGGAAAAAGGACAAAGAGTTACACTAGAAAATAAGGAATAGGGCTTATAAAATCATTAACATTTTTAATTATTATTGTGGGATAATAGAATCAATAAACAACATATCTTCTCTTGTTGTTAGGAGTTGTGTGTTCTCTCTTCACATATTACTCCTCTCTCCAAGATCCAACAACTCAAGCACAGTTAGTATAGACGCCATCAGGTCTCTATCTCCTTATCCTTAAATCATTACAAATTGAAATATTTATTTAACAGAGATATTTCACCTCATTAGCCATCTCTGCTCTATCTTTGATATGCTGATTTCCTCCAAGGAAACTGTTAACCTAAAAATAAAGAGCTGGAAATAAAGGCAGTAAGTGTTTATTTGGGATCAAAGAATTGCAATTCAGGAAGCACAGATTCAGGTAGAAACCCAAAGTGTCCACCCTACAGGAGAGGGATTCAGGGTTTTTATGGGGAAAAGGAAGAGGAGGTAAGTTGTATTAAGAAGAGTTCATTGGTGCTAGATGAGGTAAGGCTAGATTTGTACTTCATCGATTGGCTTAAGATTCAGTCATCAGACAAAAGGCAAGATTTGCACTTCACTGATTGGTTAGCAATTCGGTCATCAGCAAAGTTCAATCTCATCAGTCCTTACAAACAAAATATTCTCATTCTTACTGACTTCTTGGAACACTGGTAGTTTGGTCCAGTTTGGAAGATAAATAAAATAAGACATGCAAGGCAATTCCTCTGAAATGGCTGTTCCAGCTCTATTTTAATACAGCTCCACTCATGTCATCTTTCACAAAACCTTACAATCATGTATCCTTTTCTCCATTAATTCCATTTTTTCTCTCTTTCCCTCTCACTCCTGTCCCTCTTCCCCTACTAACTCTCCCTTCTTTTCTCTCCTTTCCTCATATTCCCTTGTTTGTGTTACAGAATAGCACCAGAAAAACTTGAGCACACGTCTTATGCCTACTAGGTTTACTGACCCCCAGTTTAGGAATCCAAGTCTAGAAATTTGATAATAGCCTATTATGTATACTTTCATCCCAATTCTAAATTCAGAGGCTAAATTAGACAAGAGTTCAGCGCTGAGGAGATGACAATGTTTTAGCCACCATTTAACTACTACAGTATCTAAAAGAACAAGCAAACAAAGCTTGAGATTCCGGTTTTGTATAAGCAAACAGTTAAGCAGTCAGCATTTTGAATTTGCTCCAGAATCATAAGGCAATGAAAAGGTTCTAAGGCATTTACACTTTTATAAACTTTCATTCAGGACAAAACATATGTTTAAAACTTGTTATGCAGGATGCTTTGCTGTCCTGCCACAAACAGATTCAGTATAGCTGAAGCAGCTCATACCCAAGCCACTGAAGGAGGAAAGAGAGCAGAGCCCGTTGGACACCAGAGATCAAAGGTGTCACTGTCTCCATTTTTTTTTAAAGTTATGCAGAGGTTGATCAAATAGTTCCCCTCCCTTCACAGGAAATAAGCTAGCCGTTCTCTTAAACGCTATAACCTGTTTCACCATATGCTGGAATTACTAAATTCAGAAACAACACAAATACATAAGAAAACAATTCGCCTAAGGCAGGTAGGAAATGAGAAATCAGTAATAGTCTATTTTGGACCATCAGTATATGACTCGTTTCTCAAGCTTTGATTCGGTTTGGGGCTGTCGTCATATAACCCACCGAAATTTCAACTTTCATTGCATGCCACACACACCCCTCTCCCCCACACAGCCAAAAATGAACTTGTTTCAGTTCCTCAAATCCTGAAGGTTTTCTCTTCATTCCAAGCCTCTGTATATGTGATCTCTCTTCTTGTTACACTTTTCCTTTCCTCAGAGTAACTCCAAGTCATCTCCTCTAATACTCTAGAATACATCAAATACTCTTACCATCTGCTCTGGCAACATTTACATCCTTTATTATCCCTCACTCACACTTTCCTGTAATTACTTCTTTAACCAAATCTACCGACTAGATTTAGGAGCAAGGGGGCATTTGCAGTGCCTAGAACAGTGCTTGACAAATAACGTGTGCCAATAACAATTTGGCATATAAGACTTAAGAATCCATAAGGCCACAAGATGCTTAAGAATCTATCCACAAACCAACCGTCCATCTACCCTGTTTATTAATCCCAATATTCACCCTGTTTCATTCCATTCCACTCACCATTCCGCTTTGCAAGCTGGTGTCTCTTACAGGCTGATCACTTTGCCCCAGCCAACAGTTACTCACTCACCCTACAGGTCAGAACCAGTAAAACGTCAAGAAAGGATCGGCTGTTTAATTTCTATGCTCCTCCCTCTCCCAGGAGATTTCACAAGTACATCTTTCCTCCCAAGCTTACTTCTTCCAAGAGGGTGCTAGGTCTTCACACAAGGAGTCCTCTTATTCCTGCCCACGTCCAGTGTATCTCCATACCTCCAGCCCCCAGAGCAATAGTTGATAAACAGTTCTCTCAATGTGGCTCTCAAATGTGGAAGCGAGGAAAGGAAGGGGGGAGCGGGGGACGGTCGATATAGATTTTCTTTCAAGGTTCTTATCCGTCTTTTCAACATGTAAGCAACTTAACCTGTGGTTTTAATCCTCTACGTCTGTGACCCGTGTATGTGTGTGTAGCATTAAAAGGATTATCGAGGCTCCAAAGCATTCTAGAATAAAAAATTCACACCAAAAATGAGGTTTTTTGGTGAAAAGTTGGCTGCACGAAACAAACAGTTAAGCAGGATCATTTAGCATATGGGTAGTGAGAAGCACAATCACAGAGGTCTTAGGAAACATTACCCAGTTAGCACAGGGCCTGGAAAGTATTTGGAGTTTAAATTCGTGCGTCGGAACCCTGCCTCCCTATTGTTTAAAAAACGTTCACATCAGCTATTTCTCCGCGTTCTCAGGAAGTCATCCTTTCCCCGCCCCCATCTTCTCCCCAGCCCGCGTTCACCTTGCCAAGTCCCACGCCCAGCAGAGGGCAGTGCGCCTGCGCGGGGGCTTCTCGGGGACCGCGCCGCCGAGCCCGGGCGGGTCGCGGTTCGATGCAGTTCGTGCGGAGAAACGCTAATGTCCGTCACATAACGACATGCTGGGGTTCATCTCCCTGGGGAGAAAGTCCAGCCCTACGGCCACACAGCCGGCAGGCCCTCTTCCCTCAGGCGGCGGCGACTTCCCCTTCCGCTTTCCCGCGCCCCCTTGCGCTCCTCTTCTGCTTCCCCGCAACGCCGTCCCGCTCCGCCGCTCCCGCCTTCCGCTCCCCCGTGTCCCCCTTCCTCTCCTCGTCCCCTTTATGCTCCCCGCCCCCCATTTCTCTCCCCGGCGTCCCCATTCCGTTCCCCTGCGGGCACCCGTGACCCCGTAAACCTCCCGTAAATCCTGCCGTAAAGCGCCCCATTCTCCTCCGGGTCGCGCGCGGTCGTGCCCCCCACCCCCCTTGTGTCGCGAGCGAGCCCAGCATGGCGGCTCCCGGGGGCCGGGCTGGGGGGGGCGGCTTGGGCTCTGCGACACCGGGGCAGCGCTGGGGCGGGGGAGCCGCCTAACCCTGCTTGTTTCCAGGCTCCCATGTAAACGGGGGAGAGTGGAGAAGAAGGAAGCCAGTTGAGGGAGATTTTGGAAGGGGAGGGGAGAGGAAGGTAGGAAGGCTCTACTTAAACATCTGTCTTTTCTGCGTTATTAAGCGGGAGAGGTATTTTTGTCTTTTTTTTTTTTTAACCAAATACTCAACATATGTCCTACATGTGATATCGTCTTGGTAAAGCTCAACAAGCTTAAAATTCTGCGGGATACCTCCAGTAGTCCCCTCTTATGGGGGAGAGGGGAAATAGGGGTATATGTTCTAAGACCCTCAGTAGATGCTTAAAACCGCGCACAGTACGGAGTTTTGTATATACTATGTTTTTTCCCATACGTATATACCTATGATAAAGTTTAATTTATAAATTAGGCACAATAACAGATTAACAACAACTAATAATAAAACAGAACAGTTATAAGTATACTGTATACTGTAATAAAAGTTACTGTAGATCTTAGCAATTTCAGCAAATGATTTTTTTTGTTTGCTTAAGTCCAGAACTTCCACCTTTTTACTTAAAGGGAGCACTTTATGGGTTCTCTTTGGCATATCCAAATTGTTAGCGTCACTCCTCTTGCAGTTTGGGGCCGTTATTAAATAAAGTGAGGGTGACTCCAGCACAAAGCCCTGGGCTCCCTGACAGTCACGTGATAATGTGGCCGGCTACTAAGTGACTAATGGGCAGGTAGTATCTACTACATGGAGACGCTGAACATAGGGATGATTCACACCCCTGGTGGGAGGGAGCCGGAAGGGCTCAAGATTTTATCAGGCTACTCAGACTGGTCTGCAATTTAAAACTTACGAATTACTTATTTCTGGAATTTTCCATTTAATATTTTAGGACCACGGTGGACTGCAGGTAACTAAAAAGGCAGAAAGTGAAACCACGGATGAGGGGGGAAACTACTGTATTGTATGGGGCAGACAGGAAGTATAAAAAGGGAGGTCATTTTTTACCAGAACTGGGATGTTTTGTCAAAGAGGAGGAACTGAAGGTAGATCTTAGTAAATAAGGGACTTTCTAGTGGGAGGAGGGAATATGCCAAGGCACTGAAGCAGGGATGATAAGCAAGTTTTAGGGTACCGAAATGTGTATGATAGAGAAGAAGTGGGAAGTAAGTTTGTGCCTAGTCATCCTGTAACTGCTGGCTCAATCTACAAATGTTGGCTGACTATCTCTTTAATCATTTGAGTTTCCATAGAATACATATCCAGTTATTCTCCCCCTCCTTCACTTTACTCTCTGTTAAACTGCGCTTCGTCCTTTTACCCCATGTCATGTTCAGCACTCAAGACTCTTCAGTATCTACTCTTCCTGAGTGATTGGATCAAAGCAGCTTTCAGTCTTGAGGCACATAAACTTTTCTTTTCTATATCACGTTTAATTACTTTTTTTGCACTTCTATAACTATTCCAAAAGACTTTGTGAACCTTAAGAAGTACTTTGTCCCAACTTTATAACTGGATAGGTCACCATTCATCCATTTCTAAGGAGTTGAATGTCCAGAAAAACCCAACTGAGTGGTAAAAGTGGATATTTTTATCAAATACTAAAGGCATCAAGGGGCTACAACTTGTTACTTTGTGGTTTTCAGCTCTCTCTCTCTATCTCTATCTTTCTGACACATCATCACTTCCTAGATAGTAAGAGATGTTCCCTGGTATCCTCCCAGCTATTTTTAAAAGATTGTGTAATTCTCTGTTGGCTAAAGTAATTATTTTTTTCTGTTTAGGAATATAATGTTCCTGTGCACATACAGAAAAGTTAAAAAAACAGCAAAAATCTTCCATAATCCCGTCACAGAGATAACTGCTAATATTTGAGCATATTTTAAAAATACAGATTGATAAATTCTATCTGTAGCAATATCTATATCTAGTTATGTGTATCCACATGGATGTACATATGTATACACATGTAAAATCTATGTAATACTTAAGAAAATAAAATATATGTGTTTCTCCACATGGATAAATATTTTTAAATTTATGTTTAATGATTTGTTAATATTCCCCCCCCTCCCTTTTTTTAGGTATGCCTCTTGTAAGCGGCATTTTGCTTAACCCAATCTTAGAGTCTTTACGTTTTAGGGGAGTTTAAACCATTTACATCCATGTAATTGATGTGTGACCTATTTTTACCTTAAGGTTTATACATAATGCATGCTGTTTCATTTTGTCTGAAAGGATAATATTTTCAAATTGTTAACGTATGTATTTTTTTAAAAAATATTTCTCTTCCACTCAAACACATATCTCAATGCTCATTACCTCATGGGAGTGATGTGGATGGGAAGAAACCTGAAATAGCCTATGAATATCTTTGGTTTTATTTTCCATAAGCCTGTATCTTTTGGAGAATCTAGAAGATTGCTAAATAAATAAAAGAGACAGAGGATTTGTGGGCATAAATGAATGTCTGGGCCAGTAATAGGTAACTAGAGAAGGCTTCAGGAACAGTAACAAACGTGTTGTCTTTGTCAGGTCTTTGGTCACTTAAGAAAACTAAGTCTTCTCGTGGAAGCAAACCAGTGCCCATCAACAGATGAATGGATAAATAAGATGTGGAATGGAATACTACTCAGCCATAAAGAAAAGATAGAAGCGTGCCCTTTGTGACATCATGGATGGGGGGTATTATGCTAAATGAAGTAAGTCAGACAAAGACAGACAAATACCGTATGATTTCACTTGTATGTGGCAGATAAACACATAGATAAGGAGAACAGGTTAGTGGTTACCAGAGGGGAAGAGGGTAGGGAGAGCGAAAGGGGTAAAGGAGCACGTATATATGGTGACGGATAAGAACTAGACTATTGGTGGTGAACATAATGCAGTCTACACAGAAACTGAAATACAATATACACCTGAAAACTACACTATGTTATAAGCCAATATGACCTCAATAAAATAATTTTTTTAAAAAGAGAGAAACATTTGGAAAGAGACCATAATCTTAAAAAGTTTTTGTAAAAAAAAACCACTACTGTATCATCTGTTACAATATCCCTAGGTAAATATTTACTCTGTGATTAAAAAAAAAAAGAGAAAACTGAGTTTTCGCTACTAAAAGAGCTCAGTTGTTCTGGGTTGTTTGTTTTACAACCGTGTAACTTCCTATATTTGCCTGTGAGTTTTTAATAGTCACTTTGGGAGATTGTTAAATAAGTGTTGTTCCACAGTGACCTATGATCCTATTTGACCAAGTGTTTTAAAACTTTTTCATATTTTTGACAAACTTCCCAAAATCAAATTCTAAATGAAGTCTTTTTGACCTCAAACTAACTTTGGGATCCCTGGAACATCTCAAAAGATTTGTTCTCTCTCCTTGTAAAAGAAAGTTGTTAAACTAATTAGGCTTACTTGATAAGTTAAATTACATGGGAAGAATTGTCAAATGAGAAGTAATACTAAGCCTTCTTTATGTTGTATTTGTAGAGATATGTTACAAGTATTCCAGAAACTGTATGAAACTCCTGGATGTCTGATATGTCCTGGTATAATGTTGTCAGTTGTAATTCCAGTTATTATCTTAAAAAGTTGTATATCCCAGGAATAACTACATTTCCTTATCAAATGAACTCATCAGATCTTTTAACAATTAGCA